AGAGAGGCGGGGAAAAAGGAACAAGAGGGTGTTAGCATGTTAGCTCTGAGAAGTGGAAAGAAGAGCATGTTAGGAAATCCTTCAGGTCTGTGGGGTGAAAAGCCAGTGTCAGAGGAAGGTTCTTGCATGCACATAAAGAACAGAAGATGATCTATCAAGGAGAAATTGACTGTTAGAGCCTTAAAGAACTTAAAATGGAAAAACAAGGTGGGAAAAAAAAAAAAAAAAAAGAGCATTTAAAAGGCGTTAAAGGGTTCACAAGAAAACAGAATGCAAAGCCATTTCCGCTCACTCCACTGATGCTGGTATGAAGATGGGAGGTTTGACGTACGTGCTGTTGGTGTGTGTCGTGTGCATGCTGGTGTATGTAAATGGCCGTGTTTGCATGTAATTGGGGGCAGGGGAGGAGTACCTCCACAGCCAGGCTGTGGTCAGACATAGACACACTGGTGTTGCGATGCCAGCACACATGCATGGTTGTGTTGGCACGGTGGTGTGTCTGCTTGTCCAGTGAAGTGCGGGAGGAGTTCATGTCATCCTCAGACTCCTGCTCCAGAGAAACCTCGTCGGACGACCCTAAGGGGGGGAGGATGGAGGACAGGAAGTTGTGTAGAGGAGAGGAGGGGGAGGGATTAACAGCACGTTTGGGGTGTTTGTGTCCAAACGGGATTTTCTGCTCACTAAGCTGAGAAAAAACGCAAAATAGCCACAAAAACACATTTACACTCAAGGCTGTGTAGATATCGAGTTTAAAGAAAACTTACGGTTGGAGCGATCGCTGAGTCCAGCGTCAAGAAAGATGCTGGATTTCTCTTGAGACTTCTTGGCCATGTCGATAGCCAAGTTCAGATCCTCAATCCACTTTCCCATCTCCACTTTAGAGCTGAAATCACAAACAGACACATTACGGCGTTGCGCACACATTTTTAGAGAGAACAGAGGATGATGTAACCCATTATTGGGATACTTCCAGTTTATTATAGCAGCGTTCTTTGTTTCTGTGCTTTTGGCCTGAATTTGTAGAGATTTTAATCGAGACGATAAGAACTTTAAGAGATCTAAGAATGTGGTGATGTGGCCAATGAAGTCTGACAGGCCAAAAATAACATAAGCCACTTTACTTGGAGGAAAAACCCACCAAGTATTCAGACTACTATATTAACAAGGGCAGGTCAAGGCAAACCAGAAACATGACTCGTACACTGATGGAAGTTTACAGTGGATGGCTCAGGTAATGATGTTTATATTACAGTGAACACACATATTTATCACTCGTGCCAATAAAAGGAGCAGTATTTGACTGGATTCGGGCACCTGGTGTTTGCCGAAGGTTCACTTAGAACACCTGTTTGGATCTGCATTAGATTTACTTGCATTTATTTGATGTTTATCTGTGATGGTAATAGTTAC